TACCACAGAGTAATACCCAAGCCTATATTACCCATTCAGATATAGGCACAGAAATGAACATTCTTGGAGAGGTAGCATCACGTAATGGGTTATGGACTTTGGAGTTAGTCAAATACAGATTTGAATTCCAGTGATGGCATTTAACTGGCTGTGTGTGACCTTAGTCTTATAATCCTTTTCTTTAAAATGGGGGTATTTCCTGTTTGCACATAAACTGCTTGGTATGTAGCAGGTGTTCAATAAATGGTAGCTGTCATCATTGTTAATTGTAGCCCCTGTAAAATTAACTTTTTATTTAGTTGCCTTATTGTTAAATATAATTAGACCTTTCTGTGATAAACCCTATAATTTCCAAGGTTACAGAGATTCGAAACTGTTCCAAGAAGTTGTTTTAGAAGTGTCAAGTACAAAGTGCTTTTAAGAGACCATTGCTTTTCTATTGTTTAAACATTCTATAGTAAAAAATTTAAAATGAAGTGTATGACTATGATATGTACATGGCAGTTGCTATTTAATTCCCACTATTTACAAACATGAATAATCCTACACTTTTTAGACTTTTCTAATAATCCCTTAGCTATTTCTCTAATAAATTTTCCAAAAATAAATAAATTTTCCAAATATCGTTCAAATAATCACCACATATTGTACAATTCTTAACCTCCTTTTCATTGGATTTATAAAAATATAATAGTTTATTATTCTTTATGAGATATTTTTATGTTTCTTATTGTGTTATGAATTTTTTGAGGGCTACAACCACATTTTTTCTCCTAAAACTGTATCTAGTACCTGGCTCTGTATGTTCAGAGCCACTAATAAGGACTTTCTGATTTCTGACTATGTTTCATTTTCTAGGAGACTGTTTCTACCTTTAGTTTTAGGTATACTATATTAAATTTAGGAATTTAATAGGAAAATAGTTAATACTCAAGATTTGAAGCAGAGAGATGTGGTAATCTGTAATCCCAGCACTCTAGGAAGTTGAAGCAAGAGGATCACAACTCTAAACTCAGCCTAGACAATTTAGTGACTTTGCAAGATCTTGTCTCAAAATAAAAAATAAAGAGAGCTAGGGATATAGCTCAGTGTGAAGGCCCTGAGTTCAATCACCTGTACTATTAAAAAAAAAAAAAATTTGGAGCCAAGCCAACCTGGGTAACCTTGGACGAGTTGTTTAACTTGTTTGAAACTTTTTTCATTATAAAATGTGGATTATATGGACTTAATAGTTTTTGTGAAGGTTAAATGAGGTAATATAACACCATTTGTAGAGTAGAGAAATCCATCATTAAATGATAAATCTTAGCTGGACACAGTGGCACATGCCTATAACTCAGCACTCTGGGAGGCTAAAGCAGGAAGAACATGCATTTGTGTCTAGTCTGAGTAACTTAGCAAAACCCTGTCTCAAAACTTAAAAAAGGACTAGGGATATAGCTCAGTGCAAAGGCCCTGAGTTCATCCCTAATATTAAAAAAACAGAGAGAGTGTCCTATTATATTGGAAAAGCCGTGGGGAATTGGGATTAAAAAGATTTTGGGTCAGATTCTGTCTCCGTTACTAAAGAGCTAAATGACCACAGACAAGTTGCCTGTATTCTCTAAAGTACCCCCCCATGTTTTTAATGTACAAATTTGAGATAGTAATACCTGCCTTGTAGGATTGTTCTGAGATAATGTATATGTATATATCATATATACAGTGCTTCTCACATTGTATGCATTCAACAGATGGTATCTATTAGTGTTGCCATGTATAATATATGCTTTCAGATGTAAAGATCCTTAAAAGCACTTTGTAAGGTAGATAGGGCATATATATTATACTTCAGGAAAAGAAAAACATATAAATATTTTAATGCTAAATTTATTGAGAATCATGAGATTAATACAAGTTACCTTTGGCCTCTACAATTGAAAGAGGTGCTCAAAGTAGTGCCTATTAGCTTCTAGACATTTATTAGTATGGTGAGCTTCTGCTTGAGTAACCTTGGTCATTGAGATTGCTGCACATGGATTTTCAATTTCTTCTCTAAGGGCTGTGAGTGTACTGGGAGTTTTCTGTAATATATAACATCCTGTGGGGTCCCCCATACCCTCTAGGATAACACCATCTGTTGAAAAAAAATCATTTTTTTCTGAAGTGTGTATACATTTTTTGGGCAGACTTTGTGTGTGCGTGTGTCTGTGTGTGTGTTTAGATATGGTTATAAGGATGAATACAGTTAACTATGTCATGTAACTTTTCCCTTTTGTTGTGCTGCCTTCCTGCTTTTCCTGCCTTCAGCATGGTTAAATGTTTGTTTGCCAATTACTATGATAAGTGTCTCCATATATGTTTCATCCTTGTTTTACAGATTAGGAAATAAGTCTAGAGCAGTGAAGTAGTTTATTTTCTATGTTAATTTAAATAATTTTGAGCTTTCTGCTATGTAGCTTTTTCTTACAGATAAATGTTTGGAGGAACAGATTAATGTTCATAAATAGGTTCCTTTTACTGTGTGCTCCTTTGACTCCACTCTTAATATAAATTGTCCCAAGGCTCATTAGCACAGTAAAGACTGAGTTTTTTTTTTTTATCAATTTGTTCAAATTACTGTGATATCAGTTCACAAACGTAATTCTTTTCACATTTCTGGTCACAAACTCAATTAGACTAAAACTAAATCAAATTTCCCCATAATATTTAACCTAACCATTGAATTTGATTCAATTCAGTTTGCAACCAGAATTGTGGAAGGAATTAAGTTTGTGAATTGAAGTACCACTGTGTATAATTTGTTTGAAAAGGTGACTTTGACATTGTAGGATTTACACTGATATAACCTACAATAATGGTTAAATGAGGTAATATGGCACCATTTCTAGAATAGAGAAATCCATCATTAAGTGGTAAGTCTTAGCTGGGGCACAGTGGCACATGCCTATAATCCCAGCACTCCTTGTTTTGCAGGTTAGAAAATGAGGTCCAGATCAGTGAATTAATTTATTTTCCATGTTAATTTAAGTAGTTTTTACAAGCTGGTATTTGAATACAAGTCTTCTGACTTTTGAGCTTTTGAGTTCATTTGTCTCTTGAAGTTACATGAAATAAATACTCTAAGCCAAGAAATGATGGCTATTTAGATTGCTTCTTTTGTTGATTCAAAACATTCTCATTTTCAAAGATATTTCTTCTGTGAGGTCCAAAAAGAACTACGAAGTGTAGTTACTTTTGTAAGAAGAAATACCATATTTCATTCATTTGTGCAGCTGAATTTGTGTATCAAGTATGATTAAAATATGGTAAATGTTTAAATTTTTTTTAAAAAATTTATTACAATAAAAGCCACAGTGCTATTAATCTCCTTCAGAATACACTGACCACACTTTGAACACACTTATCCCATAAGTCTTGACATTTTTTAAAATTTTATTTTAAAGAGTAAAAGAAGGATAACATAATAATAGGGGGGGCTTACCAAATTACAGACAAAGTGGTAGGAAATTATCAATGGTTATTGTTTTACATATTGTTATCTACAAGATAGTTTCTCAGCAAAACAAATAGACAAATAATAGTGAGTTACAGACAAAAGAGGTAGGAGATTATCAATAGTTGTTGTACTATACTTTGGTATCTTCAAAGTGGCTTCTAAAGAAAATAAATAGAGCTATACATGAGTGACCTATTGAATAATCATTAAGTATTCTCAATGGTTGTTGTAGGAAACACATAATGATAGACATGCATCCATTTACGAAATAGGACAGGAACAATACAAACATTGCAGAGTTATGGATAGATTAGTAGGAAAATATCAATGGCTGCTGTAATACATGGTGGTACCTTCAAAGTGGTTTCTCAGGAAGACAGAGATACGCAAGAAGGATCTAACAAGTAGTTACAGCCTAAGGGTTGTCAAAAATCAAGTGAGCCGTCTGGGGCCAAAGCCATTTTTTGTAGCGTTTTCTCTCCAGCCTCCCATCACATTGGGACCCCATAACCAGTTAGTATCCTCTCCCCAACTGTCAGCACAGGCAGCAGGAATCCTGTTGCAGACTTCTCTGGAGCTCTACCACAGCCTGTACTGTCAGGGGAAGAATGGCTTCCAGGGAGTCTCCGCAGGTATTGTGCAAAGTCCTCCTGGTTTATAGCTTTCGAGTGGCTCTCATGACCCCAGTCCGCAGGACCTCTGACTCCTTGGGCTTAGTCTGCATTCTCATGTTCTCTGAGTCCTTGTTCAGCAGCTGCTCCTCCCCTGACTCTGGACCTTTCTGGTTCTCAATGGCAGGAGCAAGAGTGACCCGTTGTACGGCATGTATTCCCAGGGGTGCATGGTGGGCAAATTGTGTCATTGTTTCTCTGTGTCATGGTAGTTCTCAATTGAGCTGCGGGGCCGGCCTGAGGGCCAGCGCGCAACAGCGCTCCCCGCCCGTGGCTCCCCTTGCGCCAGAGGCCCTCCCTCTGGGTGCCTAAGAGGCAGAGAGCAAGCTGACCGGAAGACCAGCGCTCCCCACCCATGGCTCCCGGTGTGCTGGAGGCCCTCCCTCCGGGCCGCCTACGAGGCAGGGAGCGAGCCGGTCCAGTCTTGACATTTTCTGAAGCATTTGTAGAAGTGCTCTTTAATAAATGTCTTTAGTTGCACTTTTGTGGCTGCTTTGATGTCCTGAATTGATTCAAAACACTTACCTTTCACTGTCATTTTGACTTTGGGGACGTGCGAGAAGTCACACGGTGCCAGATCTGGTGAGTAAAGTGGATGCAGACACACCATAATGTTTTTACAAACCTGCCTTTCCATTGGTTGGCACTCAGCAGTGGCATTCACTGTATTTTTGATACTTTTGAGACTTCCAGAACTGCTTTAGGAAGTGACAAAAATAACAGGAATAATTTGAGGGGGATTAAGGCAATTATCTTGTACTGTGATAGTTTTTTTTTTTAAATTTTCAACATTAACTATATTTCGATCACACCTTGTATATGTGATAAGTGTTTTTATTGTGTTGTTACAGATTAATGAAAAGCCTAGAACTTTGATGAAAGATTGTCTGATTATAAAGCATTTTTTACATAAAATCATCATAGTACACCACAAGGTAAGCTTTTCTTTTATACACTGATATTTCTTATTACTCATGTTTCTAAGAGACCTCTACTCTGTAGGACTTGGAAGCTTATGATTTTCTTTTTTCAAAGACGATGATTATAACTTTTAATATTGAATTGATTTGGTTTCTTGCTCTTCAGGCAATTCTTTTCTTTTCTTTTTTGTGGTCTTTTCTTTCAGTACCAGGAATCGAACTCACGACCTTGCGCTTGCCAGGCAGGCGCTTTGCCGCTGAGCTAAATCCCCAGCCCCTGGGCAATTCTTTTCTTTTCCCTCTCGTTTCTTTCCTTCCTTTCTTTTTTTCCTGTATGTGTGTGGGTGCATGTGTGTGTGCCTGTGCATGCATGTATCATGTTGGGAACGGAGCCCGGGACCTTGTGCATGCTAAGCACACACTCTACCACTGAACTGTATTCCCAATCAAGGCAGTCTGTAATATAACTGAGAAGGCTCTGGATATAAAGAGCTTTCTTTTAGATTCTTATTTTCACCTTCTTAACTGCTTTATTGTATCCCTTTAGATACAATTTCTCCCTCTTACTCATTTTGCTATTAAACTTAGACAATAAACCTTATAGATAATCACTTTCTTTTCTGAAGTGACTGTAAATGCAAATAAGGAAATTTGGATAAAAATATTTTAAACATTGAAGGGCTAATTTTTATTAATACCTGCAATCAGATATAGTTATAAAGGTGAACATAGTTAAGTATGTCTATAATTTCCTCCTTTTCTCATGCTCTTTTCCTACTTTTTCTGTCTTCAGCAAGTGTTCATTGTTTTGTAGTAACTATGCTAAGCGCCTGCACATACTCCTCCACCTAACCTCACATCACCCTTCATGAAGTGAATTTTGCCATCACCATCCCCATTACAGCTGAAAAAACTATAATATAGAAGTTAAGTAGCTTGTGGAGTCAGGATGTGAGTCCAGGTAGTCTGGCTCTAGAGTCCCTTTTAACTTTCTGTTACATAGAAAGAAAAATGTGGATTGATGGTAGAGAATGATAAGAACAGTGATGCAAACTGGAGAGAGGACATAAGTCAGGTGGAGATGGGGAAGGAAAAGCAAAGAAAAACACAGAATGGTTCATGTATGGAAAATAGTAGAAATAAAATTTTATATTTTCTTTTAAAAAGAGAAGGGATAGGTTGGATGAATAGCAAAGGGGCAGGATTTCCTGATAATTTGAGACTACCTGGAATTGCAGTATAGGGATTTGAACACAGGCAAGTATTAAGTATATTCAGTGAAACTGTGAGTGCAAAAAAGCAATAAAGAATGTCCTTTTTCTCCAGGTTTGTCTCTGTTGTTGCACATGATAGGGTTTCTTTCTATTTTAAGGCTGAATAGTATCCCATTGTGTATATTTCTTTATCCATTCAAATAATCCAGGCACAGAAAGACAAACACCACTTGGTCTCACTTATACCTGGAATCTTAAGTTGAGTTAATAGAAGTGTAGAATAGTGTAGTAGTTACTAGGGGCTGAGGGAAGATAGGAGGGAAGGATACATATTTCAGTTAGACAGGAGGAATAAGTTCTGGGGATCTACTGCCGTTCTAGAACAATCCTGTTCTACTGTATGAGGACCCTAGGCTGCTGTGAGACCTAAAGAAGAGAGAGACGGATCTAAGATTTCAGATAGTGCAATTTTGTGAGGGAATTTAATGACAGAAGTGTTGTTTTGTTTGGCAGAAAGACCAGTTAGATCAGAAAGAATTTGGGTCAGAAAGAGGGGCATATTTATGAGTTAGGACAAAGTCACTTCATCCTAGCTAAAGTGCACATGCTTCAGTTTAAGATACAAGTGTCAGGTTCATCCATGGAGCAGAGTCCAGTTAAAAGTAAAGCTTCACATATGACATTAATGATTTAATCTATTATAGTTTGCTAGGAATCTATGCAGGAAAAGCCATCTAGGGTTACTCTGGAAAACTCACAGTGATTACAGCTCAAGATGACTGCCGGCATGTCAAGCTGAATTCACACAATGACACAGCGGGTGATTATTGTCAGTAATAATATCTATTTCAAAATAGCCAAGAGAGTAAATGTCTCAATACAAAAATAAATTAGGTGATAGATATGTTAATCAGCATGATTTAATTACTTCATGTGATATACATATATATATATATCTCACTGTATCCATTACTGTATATAATTAGGATTTATCCATTAAAATATTAATTTTAAAAAGTAAAGAATATCCTTTTTCTTTGAAATTAGGTGTGGAAGTTTTTAATCTCTGTCTTGGCTCATGTGAAATCTTATGCCTCATTTATTGTTTTGTAGATCAGGTTTACTTTCAATGTAAAGGTAAATGGATTCCTTTCCACAGAGATCTTTGGGTAAGTCCCTAAGTCCTTGACTTAAAATGATGCCATGGCTCTGCGCTTTTTCTCAGCCCTTATTATCCTATTACTCATAGGCTCACAGTTTGATTTCTTGACCTAAAGTCACATTGAAACTAATTTTATGAGACCTCCCCCACATTTTCTTATTGTGTATTAGCCATTAACAAGTAAGTAGACTTATCTAAATCTTTTTATATTTTTCCTTCTGACTAGAGGAGGTAAACTTAAAAATTGCCGTTATCCATTTGGTTGTTTGAATTTTAGTGATCCCTGGGGTGGGAGAGGTCATGGGTCAGAATTTGTATCAAAGAAAGATTGGTTTGGAAAATGGTTTAGCCTTTTTTTTTTTTTTTGCTTTGCAGGGTAGAAAATGAACCCACTTTGAACCTATCAAATGGAATTGCTATTGTCGTAAACTGTCAACATTATGTGAGGTGAAGGCAAAATCATTATCTCTGTGTGTTTTATTGTCTTATTATGAGTATGAGTATGATATAAATTGGAAATGGTCTCCCTTATTTATTTTTTATTTATTATTTTGAGATGAGATCTCCCTATGTTGCCCAGGCTTGTCTCAAACTTTGGAGCTTAAGTGATTCTCCAGCCTCAGTCTCCTGAGAATCTGGGACTATAGGTGTGCACCACACACAGTTATACCTGTAATTCTACATACCAGGTTTCAGCCTTTTTCTTTTCTTTTCTTCTTCTCTTCTCTTCTCTTCTCTTCTCTTCTCTTCTCTTCTCTTCTCTTCTCTTCTTTCTCTCCTCTCCTCTCCTCTCCTCTCCTCTCCTCTCCTTTTCTCCTCTCCTCTCCCCTTTCTTTTCCTTTCCTTTCCTTCCTTTCCCCTGCCTTCCTGTCTTTTTCCTTTCCTTTCCTTTCCCTTCCCCTTCCTTTCTTTTCTTTTCCCTTCCTCTTCCCTTCCCTATTCCCTCCCTCTTTCCTTTCCCTCCTTCCTTCTTCCCTCTCCCTCCCTCCATCTGTCCCTTCCTTTTTCTCTCTCTCTTTCCTTTTTTTCTTAAATCTTTTTGAGACCTTGAACTCACTGTGTAGCACAGGCTGGCCTCAAATATGTGGCAGTCCTCTTGCCTCAGCTTCCCAAGTGCTGAGATTACCATGCGCAGCTCATTAACCTTCTTTATAAGAAAAGCAAAAGGAAATCTTTTAAGTTATTTATATTAGCAATTGTTTTTATTCTTGGCTCCTTGAATATGTGCTAATTGACCTGAGGGTATATTTCTTCTCTACATGCCTTGTTTTCTTCTGTAAATGAAAGGAAACAAACCCTGCTAATTCTAGTACCATTTAGACGTAAGAGGAGAGAACTATGAATTTTAAAGTTTACTTAACTCTTTTTTTTTTGTTTTTTGTTTTTTGGTTTTTCTCTGGTACCGGGAACCGAACTCACGACTTTGCGCTTGCCAGGCAGGCGCTTTGCCACTGAGCTAAATCCCCAGCCCCCCAGTTTACTTAACTCTTGACTAGAGATAGTATGAATCCAGTGGTATTTGTTGTATATATGTCTTTTCGCATGAGCATTGCATAGGTTTGGACATCATCTCTCTCCTACATCCACCTTCTTCAGACTCCAAAAACATTAGTCTATGGAGGACATGGTACATAATCTGGACAGACTGAAACCACTTCCTTGGCTTCCTTTCCCATTCAGCTCCACAGAGTCCAGAGTGAGCATAAATTCAGGGAAGACCTGATGTATGCTTAAATCTAATTTATTTTTTATATAGTAGATTCCACTTTCATTTGTATGCCGAACCCTATTGCAATACCAGTTGCAATAGGGTCCTAATCCTTAAAGAGACTGCCCATGGGTTTTTTTTTTTTCCCACGAAAACATACTTTATTAGTAACTAGACACTTCAAAGGTTTTGGTTATACATATCATGCAAAATGGTCGTCTTCACATGTTTGTCCAGCTGCTCATTTTTATGATCTTTTTTGAGATGATTATTAATTACAGTTACTGCGGTAGTAAAAATCATTCAAGAAAATGTCTTTCAGTGAAGCAAAACACTATGTAACACATATGAATATATTGTTCATTTCTTCTGGAAGCTTAACTCTCCTAATCTAAACAAATCTATATTTTAGAAGACCATTATATACCAAAAAAAATGGCAGTAGCTTTTATATGTGCATCTATAGGTACTCCACTGAACTGATAAAAAGAAACTAAAGAAGAAAATAATTTTAAAAATTAATTTTCCAAATAATTTTTTCCTGTTTTGTTAATCCAAAGCAGGGCAATGCCCTTTTATTTACAGATGCTCATTTTTGCTGAGCATAGTGGTGCACACCTATAATCCCAGATACTTGGGAATGAGGCAAGAGCTCATTCCCAGTAGTTTGAGTCCTGTCTGAGCAACACAGCAAGACCGTATGCCGAAGGGGGGGTTTCATCTCCTCCAGTAAGTCATTTCCATAGGATAACGATTTTGTTCTCTTTAGAAGGTAGTTTATTTCTATTAATCTTTTTGAACTGGGGTGTTATTACCCAGTTTCTTTTTAATAAGTAGAAAGAAGCAGGGCTTCCTATTGTCAGGGAAGACTTAGGAGGACTCTCACATGTGGCACTGAGGAAAATTTTCTGCAGTAGGGAGATCAACACTTTGGCCCCGTGGTAGTTCCAGTAGCACCCTGGTATTCAGACAGCTATATTATGCCCTTGAAATAACCAGTGACCCAGGAAAAGTGATCCCATTCAAGTCAAACTGACGGTGAATGGTCACAAAAGACTTTTCTAGATACATGGAAGTGGGGTGTTTTGTAAGAGGCATAAAAGAAGGCAGAAGTTGCCCATGGGTTTTTGGTCTGTTTTCTTACTCTTGACCAAAATTACACCTCAGATGAGAACATTTTTTTATTCTTTAATATCCAGGCAACAAAACGCCACCCCATATCTTTCTTTAATATTCCTATAGTATCATCCAGTCTCTATAGGTCGGTAGCACATTATCATATCTTTGCTGTCAAGAGTTTAAGCCTCTGAACCAATGTCTGAGGATGTGTTTCCTTGGGTGATCTGATTAGTTCAGAGAGAGAGGAAAAGATTTATTAATATTTCTTTTCTGCTTAGAAAAGAGCTGCAGGGAAGTAATCAAACACAGAATTTCACTACATTTCTTTTCTAGGTAGCCTAATTGTTTTTTCTTGCTCTTATCATACAGTAACCTCAGACCTATGCAGGGGAAGGTGTATTTCTGAGAGCAGACTTTTAATTATCATGGGGCCAATTTTAGGCCATTTGTGATTCATAGACCCCATTACACAATGCTGATCTTTAAATGACCTTTTAAGCTTCTGCTCAGAACTATAGCGTAATGTTCGTGGAGAAAATACACTTTTGAAAATAAGAAACTGCCACTAGTGATAGCAAAAATAAGAGCTATAATAGCGAGGACTTTTCTATTCTTTTCTGCTGCTGAGATTCACTAAGTGAGACACAAGTTACTTATGCTGCTAAAACTGAAATTATAGGTTATATGGTTATTCATATGCCAGATGTTATAAAAAGAATTTTGAATGTCCATTTAAATAATTTCTCAAGAGGAAAAAAAGTTAAATTTGTCTCATCTATTCTCTGACAGTAGATTAAAATTCAATACAACTGAATCACACTGCAGCAGAATCCACCCTGTGCTAGGACATCCGGTAACGCTCTTAATTCCTGAAGATGTGGCTGGCATGGACTTGTTGGGAGACCTAATAATGACTCCAGCTGCTGCTCTGTGTCCCAGCCCAAAGGTCTTTTCCAGCCAGCTGAACAGGATTTCACTGGTTTCCATATCCTTTTGATGATATGTTCCATTCAATTACCTTTTGAAGATGGATTTGTTATATCCCAACTTTAGGAAAGCATTTATATATGAATTATTTACCTAGCAACATATATGATTTGTATAAAAACATGTAACCCAGTGTGAGTGCTAAGTTTAAAAATATTGCCAGAGGCTGGGCGTGGTGGCACACACCTATAATCCCAGCACTTGGGAGACTGAGGCAGGAGGATCATTGCAAGTCCCAGACCAGCATGGACTACAAAATGAGCTCAAGGCCAGCCTGAACTGCATAGCAAGATCCTGTCTCAAAAAACAAAACAAAATAAAACAGAAAAAAATTTCTATGTCCAGAATAGGGCAGTCTATAGATGTAGAAAGTAGTGAGGAGACCTTTTAAAAATGAAAATGTTCTAAAATTAATGGTGGGGATGGCTATACAAGTCTTTGTATATACTTGAACAGATTTTTACATTTAAAATAGGTGACAGGGACACAGCACCTGCCTGGCAAGTACAAGATCCTGAGTTCTGTTTCTGGTACCAAAAAAGTAAATAAAATGAAATGAAGAAATGAAATGGTGACGGGCTAGGCATGGTGGCACACACCTGTAATTCCAGCACTCAGAAGGCTGAGGCAGGAGGATTGTTACCAGTTTGAGGCCAGGGTAGGCTACAGACTGAGTTAAAGCCCAGCCTCTACTACATAGTGAGACCCTGTCTCAAAAACAAAAACAAAAACAAAAACAAAAACAAAAAAACCTAATCAGGTATATTTATTTTTTCTGAATAAAGCTGTTTAAAAAAGATCTCCACAGATGACTGGTAGATTAATGATTCTGTCAGCAAGATGCAAAACATTGATAGCAGATTTGAGGGATAAAGAATAGGAATTTGGCTTAGACATATTGAGTTAATGGTGCCTGCAGGATATCCTTTGAAGATGGCAAGCAGCTATATAGTTAGGTCCACAACTTGGAAGTGGTCAGATGTAGAGATAGAGATCTTTAGACTCTCAGTTTATCCCACAGGTAAATGTGGCATAGTGCTATGTAAAAGACATGACATGGATTGTAAATGTTGAGTTCACCACTCATGAGCTTTGTGGGCAATGTACTTGACCAGTCTAAACCCTTACTTCCTCAGCTTTCCAGGGGGGATAGTAGTATTTCATATGTTTATTTTTCCCTCTCAAAGGTTTGTTTATGTGTGTTCTTTTCAGTTTTATTTGCTTTTTAGAAATATAAAAATCATGTGAAGCCCCTGAAATACTGTCTGACAGAAGTGCTCCATAACATTAGTTGTTATTATATATTTGAGGTTCTAGGTGTAAATTAAGTTGTGGAAGTGTACAGAGATCAAGAACAGGGGGAAGAGGATATAGCTCAGTGGTAGAACACACTGCCAAAAAAAGAAATAAAAGAAGTAAAGAACAAGAACAGAAGAGGCATGGAGTGATACATATCAGCTGAGAATACCCTTCAGGGAGGAGGGAGGAATAAGACAGAAATAAAGACTGTAAGGGCATTTTATATTTAAAAACATGTTTTTTCTTATATCTAGATAGTACAGAAGAGCACCAAAAATAAAGGTTTTATTTCTCCTCCTTCTATTCTCTAGAAGCAGTAAGAAAAAAAAGTTTGCCCTCTCAGATTTTCCATTTTAGTAGTACACATTAGTGATAAGTGAAGTGAGATAAATAGAGCAAGTGATGAAGTAGTGATGGGGATATCATTTAAATTTGGTCAGTAAAGACTCTGAAGAGGTGAGGTTTTAATAAAGAGAATGTTACTGGGGCTGGGGGTTTAGCTCAACGGCACAGCACCTGCCTGGCAAGCGCAAGGTCGTGAGTTCAGTTCCCGGTACCGGAAAAAAAAAAAACAAAAAACAAACAAACAAACAAAAAAACACAAGAGAATGTTACTGTTAAAACTCTGGTAGGGTTTCTGCAAACGGCAAACTAGGTGATTCAGACCAACATTCCCATTGAAGATAAAAGCTGGAAAATACATTAAAATATCATAAAAGCATCAAAGGAGAAAGGGAGGAAAAAAAAGACCCAAAGTGAACTTCTAGAGATAAAAAGTATAATTTTTAGGATGAAAAGGCACTGGATGAGATTAATGGCAGATTTACACATTGCAAAACAATTAGTGAACTTGAAGACAGCAATAGAAACTATCTAAAATGAAACATGGATAAAAAGCCTTCTTAAAAATGGACAAAGCACCATTGAACTCTGGGACAACTCCATGTGGCCTACTTCACAGCTCTGTAATTGGAGTCCTGAAGGAAGGGTAGGTAAAGTATTTAAAGACAAAGACTGTAAACTTGCAGATCTATGGTCAGTGAGCCCTAAAGTTAAGAAGCATGAAGGAAATTGCACCAAGACACATCATAACCAAACTGCTGAGAGCTGTAATAAAGCAAAAAAAAACCCTTAAAAGCAACCTCAAGGGGCTGGGTATTTAGCTCAGCGGCACAGTGCCTGCCTGGCAAGCTCAAGGTCATGAGTTTGATTCCTGGTACCGGAAAAAAAACAAAAAACAAACCAAAAAACCCAAAACCTCAAAAAGATATATAAAGGGGCAAAAGATAAGGATTACAGCAGATTTCTTGTTGGAAAAATTGTTAACCAGAAGACAGTGGAGCAGTATTTTTTAAGTACTAAAACAAAAACTCTGTCAATTTGAAATTCTATACTCATTAAAAATATTTTCAAAAATGAAGGCAAGATGAGAACTTTCTTGTACATCCAAAAGATGAATGAATTCATCACAGCAGGCATGTATTATGAGAAATGTTAAGAGAAATCTTTTGGGTAGAAAGAAAATGATACCAGACCGAATTCTGGATCTATCTACCTACCTGCCTACACACACATACACACACACACACATGAGCACAAGAAGTGTTAACTGTGGGTAGATATTTTTGTCCTTTTATACAGGTCTTTGAAAGGTAATCATTTAAAGCAAAAAGTACTAATTTATAACATGTAGAAGTATAATGAGTTACAATACTAGCACAAGACTGGGGGGGTGAGGGGGAGTATTGTTGGATTCTTATATGTGAATTGTCAGAATGTCACTTAAAGGTGGACTGTAATAAATTACAATTGTAAACTATAAAATTTAAAGCAATACCTAAGTTTTTACAACAGATTATTATTAATATGCCAAAAAGGAGATAAAATGGAATTATAAATAATACTCAGTTCAAAATAGAATCTAAAAATAGAAAATAGGACATGGGAAACAAAGAATACTAGGAACAAATAAATGAGGAAAAGATAACAAGGGGATAGATTTAAACCCAATTGTTGCTAGATGTGGTGGTGCACACCTGTGATCCCAGCAGTTGGGAGGCTGAGGCAGGAGGATCATCATGAGTTTGAGGCCACCCTGGGCTACATAGTGAGTTCAAGGCCAGCCTGAACTACATAGCAAGACCCTATCTCAAAAAACAAACAAACAAACAAAAACCAACTGTGGCAGTATTCATATTAAATGTTAATAGTTTAAACAACCCAATTAAAAGATAAATCACAGTTTGGCTTTTCAGACTTCTACTCTTATTGGAAGTTCACAGCATCTCAGATTCTGGAGTGATGGCAAACCTTTTCAAGATGAGCATCCAAACTGCAACCCCAAACCCACTTATTTATTGCCAAGTGCCAACAGTATAATTAACCCTGAGTACTGAGCTTTAGTTTAGCAAAAACAACTTATACATTAATATCTTTTGTCCTAAAAGTAAAACAATATCTGTGCCATAAGTTTGCCACCATGGCAGAGTGTCAATGTTCAGGTTTTTTTTTGATGCATTAATGCCTTCTGAGATTTGTGAGGGAGATTTCATTTATGGGTGCTGCCTCTCTTTTGGTTTGCTGTGACTTTCCATAATGCCCCAGTGCCTGCTGGGTAAGAATTTTAATCTTCACGTTTAATGTCCTGTCTTTACAAGGAAGAGGATGAAAACAAAGAGGATAGAAACTACATAAAAGAAAACACAAGAGAACAGCTCTAGTCTTCTTAGCACTGATTGAGAGAACAAAAAAGGTTCTTTTTTCTTCAGTGTTGGGGAACAAACTTAAGGATGCTGTAGCTCTGAGCTATATCCCCAGCCCTGGGTTATGATTCTTAATATAGAGATTTTTGTCCTCTGTGGATATATGGACACTTGGCAATATCTAGAGACATTTTTGTCATGGAGGGGATCAGGTCAGGGGGATGCTACTGACATCTAGTGGGTAGAGGTCAGGGATGCTGCTAAGCATTCTGTGAAGCACAGGACAGCGCCCCCACCACAAAGAATTATGTGGCCCAAAGTGTTAGTAGTGCTGTGTTGAGAAACCTTGGTTGAGTGGGTAAGAGTAAGAAGGGGAAGTCCAGAAAAGGAGATCATTTTAGGGGCCTGCCTGCCTTTGTCTTGGTTGGAGAATGTGAGAGGAAATTTCCTTCTCAATCTAATTGTACTCAAATACTTAGTAGAAAACACTCCTTTATATGCTTCCAGACTATATGTTACAATTTATATCTAGATGTTCCCCCAAACCCTCATGTGTTCATAGGTGGGGATTTGGGGAGGTGATGAGGTCATGGGTGTATGATACTCATCAATGGATTAATCCACGGATGAGTTTATAGCTAAATGTGATGCTGGTTGGAGGAGGTGGGTCACTGGGTCTGTTGCCTGGCAGGGTCTGTCTCTCTCCCTCCTTGATCACTCCCCGCTTTACTGCCATGCCTTATGTAGCCTCCTCCGCCATGCTGCCCTGCCTTGGAGCCAGCCAACTATGGACTGAAACTTTTATAAACTGTGAGCCAAATTAAACCTCTCCTTCCTTAAGTTGTAGGTACTGTGTCTCAGCAATAAGAAAGTAACTAAGATACTATAAATATGTTAACTTGAGAATAGATGTTAAATATGAATATTCATCTTTGCACCCCCTGATGTGCCACCAAATTCTATGATCAGGATGAATAGGATAAACAAATGAACTAGCCTCTTAACTCGCTCTGCCTGTAGCTCGTATTTGTTAAACCTGAACAAACTTCTGAGGATCCTAGTGGATTTGTCTCTGGTGTTTCATGCCTGTCTTAGGTGTGGAAAAGGCTTAACATATAATAGCATAGCACCCATGTTTATTTCTAGGAGTGTGAACGAGGCTACTGTTATATTTGTTTTATGCAAATTAAAAACTAAAATTCAGCAGTTTTCTTTAGCAACTGTACATATTTCTGTATGGACCTTCAGGTCTACCTCTGATGTTGTCAAATGAGGACCAGCTAAGTACCACTGTCTTCAAAGATGCCTTTTATTTCATTGACTGGAAGAAATACCACTTGTGTGTGGCACCCAGTTTGGATCTCAGTTTGGAAAAAGGTATGTCTCCCTCTCTCTGCACAGAAATGCAGAAACCTGAAGAATATTACAGAAGTGAAAGGAAATATAAATAGCAGATGTATATAGAAATAGGACCCAGTGATCTGATGCCTGGGTTGGAGGCAGGGTCTGGCCAAGTTTGAGAGTCTGCTAGGAATGAGGCAAATGCATCAGATAGACAAAGCCCACAGCCTGACTGTTTTGGCCTTGCAGCTTGATGCAGATTCTTCTCTTACCTCTGCTGCCTCCCTGTATTCCTGGTTCTTTCTAGGGACTTGTTTAGAGGGTTTGTTTGTTTATTTTTTGAGACAGAGTTCAGGGTAGTCTTGAACTCACTATGCAGTCTAGACTGGCCTGGAACTCATGATGATCCTCCCGCCCCAGCCTCTCAAGTGTATACAGGCATATGCTTGCACACCCGGCCCAGAAGATTTATGTAGTACCTTAATCTGTCAATTTGGGGGCTTTAGAAAGATAAAGGAGCAATGATTCTCCTGAACTGTTACGGAAGAGAAATGCTTCTTAATGAAAGGAATAAACCCAAATCAAATTACTTAGAAAAAAATAAAACACAACCTAAATGCCAGATATATTAAACCTAGGAAGTTGGCTATATTATTTACATAAAGCCAAACACATTAACTTTTGGTGAGTTATGCTAAAAATTTGATTGTTAATAACTAGACCAATAAATAAAACTGGGAAATAGGACTGTACAACCGTGGGCCGATATCTTGAAGGTTTACAGTCCTGAGCTTGGCTCTTATTAACTAGAACCTTTGAATTGGGAGATATTCTGGTTGTTGGGACCCTGAGGAAGATGACTGGTAGGAAAGAGATGTTTTGGGGTTGTAACTGATATGAGAAGATGGAAGACAGTGTCTCAGGGCAAACGACAGATTCTGCAGCTAAGAAGTGAGACTCCATATAAGCTTCTTCTTTCTTGAGTACCTAGTTTTCCAGAAAATGATTATAAGAGGAAATGTCTTTAGGGTTTCTGGACACATTAAGTAGTTTTGTGAGGAAAAGATGTTTAGTCTTAATTGGTAAGACGTCATGCCATCAGGGTTTTGAATAGTGGGATGACATATAAAAATTTCTAGGGATCTCCATAGCTCTTTACCTTTTTCATATTTATATCTAGACTTTATTGGCTTTCTTTCTTTTATCCAGAATTTATGATGCCTGAGTTTGCTTAGTTAACTTTGGAAATGATTGACGTAGACTTCTTCCTTCATTTGTCCGAAGGACAGAGCCAGGATCTACATGGAGGTTCTTCTCTGATGCATGTGGAATGTAGGAATATGCTGACTGCATTATAAAGGATCAAGCTGGTGGAAAGTGATCATAGCGTTTTGGATTATAGTGGTGTCTTGGTTCACAAACACTTTTGTTTGCAAACAATTTGGTTTGCAAACAGAAGCGTTAGGCAAAATTTTGTTTTTGTTTGCAAACTGCATCAGGTGACAAGCACAACTGAGGCCATCTTTCCCACACAAACAAACGTGGCCATCTTTTCCAAAATCACAGAATGAATTAAGTTTGTGAACTGATTTACCACTGTATTTGGGAATACAAATATTAAATAGTTCGGGGTTAACAATGTAGATTTTTGAAGTCAGTCTAGTAAGGTCTGCAACTCAGTTCCATCACTTACTGACTCACATTGGGCAAGGTCTATACCTCTTTTCTGTAAAAGTGCATCAGAATAGGTCTTACCCAAGAGTGTTGTGAAGTCTAAGTGGTGACATAGTACATGCAGAGAATTTAGTATAGTACTTGGTGTGTAGCACAAGTTAGCTGTGATCAGAAGTGAGCTATCATTGTCCTTACTCAGGTTTGAATCTGACCTCTGCCTCTTACCAACCATGCCTTCCTTAGAAAATTGTACAAGGAATAAATGAATTTATTATGTAATGTTTCCCAGTAAATGCAAGGTGCTGTTTGTTTTGCATTTTACACAACCAGTCATTATTTTGATATTCTTTCTGTGAATCACTATTATTTGCTTTCCACCATGTGGATGGAGAAACAAGTTCAGGAGTGGAACTGAGTGTTCAAATGTAGATCTCCTATTCTCAGATCCTTTTTTGTTTGTGATATAGTTTCTTTACTAACTTGTAGGGACTTTGCTTACCTTAGAAATTTGTATAATATCTTCTCCTCTAGATTTGGTGCTTCCAGATGTGAGTTATCAGGTGGAACCCAGTGAGAGGAATCAGTCTCAGACTATGGATCTTCAGGGACAAACTCTGCTACTTTTCCTTTTTGTGGATTTCTATAGTGGATTTCCAGTCCAGCAAATGGAGATTTGGGGTAAGCAGAGGTAAACAGGGCTTCCAGCTTGAGTGTGCCCAAATACTCGCGTTAGAGAGGGAGATAAATACACAAGGCATAAATTTGAAGTAGATACATTTATTTAGAATAAAGAATTTCATTGAAGAAAACCTTGCTTAAGTTAAATTATATTTTCTGTAGAAAAGATCTGTATAGAAAAGATCCCTAGAGAAAAGTGATACATCACTTAAATGATGCTATTCCCAGATTTGATTGGCCAGAAGTCAACAGACCCTTCCTATAGGGAATATGTTACCTTAGATCAATATCCCTCAACCTTACTTGTTGTCTTAGTTACTTTTCTGTCATTGCTGAGACAAAATACCCAATGCCCAAAATTAGGAAGGAAAGGTTTATTTAGCTCAGTTTGTGGAGGTTTCAGTCCATACTCAGCTGGCTCCAAGGCAAGGTGGCACATGGCAGAAGGCAACAGTTCATGGCAGCAGAAAACAGCAAAAGCAGCAAGAGCAAAAAGGGAGGAGCTGCAGAAAACAAGCCTCTTTCCCTCCCTTATATTGTATGCAGGCTGTCCGCTCCAGGGTGAGTGTAGCCCTAGCACTCATAATCCCAGCATTGGACCATGAATCAACCAAAAACTCTAGAAGCCCGCCCCATGACTGCATGAGGCTGTAGGGGAACATCTAGACACAAACAATAACACTTGTATAATACATTATTGGGGGAGCTTCTAAAAATACCCAAACCTGACTCAAAACTGGGGCTTAGGTCTCAGTACTTTTATTTTTTGGTTGGGGGGTGGTTCTGGGGATAAAACTCAGTGCCTTGCACATGCTAAGCATGTGTGTATGTTGAGCTATATACTTTAGCCTGTCAGTATGTTTTTAATTTCCCAGGTGATGCCAAACATAGTAGAACACACCCATAATCTCAGCATACTGGGAGGCTTAGGCAGGAGGATGGATGGAAAGTTCCAGCCCAGCCTGGGGAACTTCTTAAAAAAAAAAAAATGTAGCTCAGTGCAAAGGCCCAGGTTCAATCCCTGCTGACATTAAATAAATAAACACATACATACATACATACATACATACATAATCTTCTAGGAGATTCTGATGTGGAGCTAGGCTTGGGAATTTTTTTCCCATACTCTACTGTCTTTCTAGATATCAAGAAGTGTATCCTGATGCTGGGCATGGTGGTGCATTCCTGTAATCCCAGCTGCTTGGGAGGCTAGGGCAGGAGAATTATAAAATCAAAAGCCTAAACTGGAGATATAATTCAGAGTTCAATTCCCAGTGTTGCAGAGAAAATATAAATAAATAAAAGAAAAAAGAAATGTAGCCTGACTTTGTACGGGCCTACAAGTAGGGAGTGTTGGCATGAATCTATTAGATAAGTGGTAACCTGTTATCAGAAAGGTTCTCTGTTAGAGGTAAAGCAGTGGTTTCAGTTTGTAGTCCATAAAACATTTGCATCAGAGTCACCAGATTACTTGTAAATGTATAGCTTTCTGGGCCAAGATTAATTCATTATTTCGATAATCATGTGAAGAATATGGTATGGCTTAAGAATACACATTTTCAACAAGATTTTCAAGTGATTTTTAAATACAGTAAAATTTGGAAACTACTAAGTGGGAGTGTGAGTTGGCTTAAGTATTTTCTTTTCCTTTTAATTTTCTTTTTGTAGTACTAGGGATTGAACCCAGTGCCTTCACATGGAGCTTCATCCCCAGCCCTCTCATAAATTTTTTAAATTTTGAGACCGGATCTCACTAAGTTGCTTAGTTGTCCAGGCTGAGCTCAAATTTGTAATCCTCCTGTCTCAGCCTACCAGAGGGCTGGGATTACAGGCATGCACTACCACGCCTGGCTGGTTTATATGTTTTAATTCAATTAGTCCTGGTACAAAATTTTAAGAGTTTCTTGGTACTCTTCTAAATGTTGAGCAAAGTTATAGACAAAGTGGAGTTCATGTATGTTTGGGGGAAAAGTTCCTAAGCCTCCCTTTTGGTGCTCTTCTCTCTGGGCACCAGTGTATTTTTTACAGTATGCTGCCCTCCAAGCAGCTCTTTGTGGTATGGTGCTACTCCTACTTCGTCATAAGATACACAAGACCACTTATAACCCCAGATCAGAAGTACCCCCATTGACTGGTGCCCATTATTTGTTACTGTCGTTTGTGAGATTCTTCTGCTGCCTTCCTTCCAAGCCTTTTCCACCTTCTCCCAGTACATGCACACTCTGAGAGAGAATCACAGCTTTCCTGGGCACCAGCTTACAACTCTCTTTGAGGAGCTGATGTTCTTTGGTGCCCCTGTTCCATTGATTAAGGCAAAGGAAATAAGAAATAGAAGAAACGCAGACTGAAGACGCTCCTGCAAGTAGGTCTCAGTTGAGGATTCCTGGGACTGTTAACTGGCCTATGCACATAAAGACAGGTTGAATTAAAAAAAAAAAAAAAGAGGTTGATAGGAGAAGCAGTTTAGTATTGTGGAGAAGACTTAAAGGTAGAATCGAGAACTGGGTTTAATTCTTAACTCAGATACTCATCTCTTCAGTAATATTTGGGAAGAATGTCACATAAATCATCTGAGCCTCACTTTTCATATCTTTAACATGAGCTTGTTAGACTAGGTGACATCAAAGGCCCTTTCCAATGCTAAAGATCTTGAGACTTAAGATCTGTTACCTTCTGGCACTTAAAAAGTGTCAAGGATAACTTTAGGACAGTTCAAGTCTGATACTGTGTTCTGAGGCCTATTAAACATATCTTAAGAACTTAGATTTCTCAGAAACTGTATTATTTATATAATTCTTGTATCACTGTGATAATTTATACACCTGTGTTTGCCTTGCCTCAGCCTTTAGTGTCTCACTAGTTATACTCAGTATTGGATTAAAAAGAAATTTATCACTGCTTTAGTAAACATAGCAAATATGTTTTAAAATCTCACATCTGGTAGTTTAGAACTAGCCTTGGACACAGTGAGGGGAGGTAGATGGAGCTGCAGTAATTTTACTTTGTCTTTCTCCTTTTTTATGAAAGCTTTCTCCAAAGCTCCTTCTCTTAGGAACAGATTGTGCAGAACTACAGTCTGTTTCTGTGTCTTTTAAAAAATCACTTAATTGGCCTTCTGCCCACCTTGTCATGGTAACTTTCTATGATTAACTCATTCTTTTGCTACAGTGTCATAAGCATCTGTGGTATCAGCTATTTTAGGAATGAACTTTGATTTTTTAATTAAATGTCTGCTTTTAAAAAGGGTCTGATTTTTTGAGGCCCTTTTTAGGACCAAACTGTAGAAAATAGTATTCCACATGCTATATTAGCATAGTAATAGCAGCATTTCCCATCTGAATATTACATGTATATTTCAAAACATTTCATTTATGTTATCCCATTTTCTCTATATAACATAGCTGAGAGAGGCATTTTCTGTATTGAACCATTTTCTCTGTAAAGCCATTTTCTGTATTGAGAAAAATGAAGTGACCTGGTCACCCCTAGGTAGTAGTAAAATTGATTGTAAGTTTATGTTCTCCCACTTCTAGTTCCAGACTCCTTTTAACTCCACACGTAACTTTCTCTTTATCATGGTGCCTTGCAGTAGGCAATGTTCCTTCTGGCTTGCATTTTTAATGCAGTCCTAAGAAAAGCCTGCCAGGCAGTCTCAGATTGCTTTACCATGGTATCTTTGAACAGACTAAGTAGAGGAGAAGAGACAGAAAAATTCATTTAGAAGCATTTTCTTGCCAGGCGTGGTTTTGTTGCACTCTGTAGTCCCAGCACTCTGGGAGGTGAGGCAGGGGGATTGCAAATTTGAGCTCAGCCTGGG